CTTGCTCATCTGACATGGGGACCACCAAGCAACGTTAAAAGTCCCATTCTGGTGAGTAACATCGATTAATCCGTCTATTGGGATTTTTCTTTCGAGAACTGAGGCAACAAAGTTATGAATGCAGTAAAGGTGGCCTAGGCATAAGAGCAGCCATCTGAATCATCATTGCGACTGGAGTTTGACCCTCGTGACCCAATCGTGGCATCACATTTCGAAAGGTCTGCCATCACGGATTTCAAGAGTTTTTCAGAAATATCAGAACAGCTCCAAATAAAAGGCAGCCTATGACTGCGTGTGGCTACTGTTTTATTAAGCGATGACTGATGACGTCATCGCTTAATGCTGGCATACGACATTCCTTTTGATAAATGAGGTCGCGCTTATGTCGCGCACGATTTATCCTGAATCGAAGCGAGGGGAACAGGGAACTAAACCTGGGATTTCAGTCAGCCGATTCGATTTTAGTCAGCTGATCTTTTTAATCGTGTCAAGAAACTACTATTGGTTTCCATCCGTTCTAGTACGATCTAAACAGCTGCGACAGTGACCTCCACCTATCGCTTGGGAAAGCTTATGTCGATTTGCATGTCGATTATGTGTTTTGGCGATCGGATGGATTTGTTCGCTAGCTCAAAGCTATGGAATAAAGTACAAAACTCACTCCAGACTCTAATCCGCCGTCTGTATTAAGTAGCTGTAAATCAAACGTACCTTGTTCATTATGCCTCATTGGCAAAACAAAGATGGTGGATCGCAAATTGACTTCATTTTCACGTGGCTAGTTCGTTGGAGGTATTGGGTTTCCTTCAGTGTGGAAATTTACAGTCTTACTCATGTCACACTGTAGTCTGTCATTTTAATGTGAGATGAATTGGTTGTCCTGTGGACGTTTACGGACTTACTCGCTTACAATGCCATGACATAGTGGCTATGCCTTCCCAGAAGGCAGTAGTCACAAAAACTGAATCAAAAATTCGCATTAACTGAAAAAACCATAAATTTCGAAGATTGAGATTTTGAACTAAAATCTTTTGGTGATCTTTCTCGAAGGACTGATAATCAAGGGATTAATGTTCCAACAGAATCCAACTTTGCACAATCAAATTAATGGACCTTTTTACCGGTGTCGCGCTTTTCGGAGTTTTTCGTTCAAACAAAGAATGTAAGCGTCACCGTTCGATTTATCATGCCGAATTTAGTAAATAAGCGCAATTCCATAGAGTCCTTTGCGAGCTCACCAAAAGTTAACTTACCAACTGTCACAAAGAACTGTCTGTCCTGGCAGACATTTCTTTGTAGAAATTGGTAAGTTTGGGGTCCTATATTTTCACGAATTTGCAACAGAGACGAGTCTTATGAAACTTGGCTCATTTACGGAATTCGGCCTGATAAATTGATCTGTGGAGGTGTTTTTTTGTTAACATTAGAAATACGAAAAATTGTGGTATTGTCTGACTTCGTTTGAAAGGTTTATTGCTGTGTTGCGCAGTTGTTCCCATGGACAATCTCGGACGGCTTCAACCCTAATGATGCTACTAAGTCGAAATCGTTCGCTTTTATAAGATAATTTTTATTTTCTATGTTTATAAATCATTTATTTTAATTTTATTATTATTTTTTACATATTTTTTTGTTTGTTTTTACAGTATTACGTGGTAATTACTGCATGCCCGAATTGCAGTAGTTTTGAGCCAATTAGGTCAAAGATTAACGGGACCAGCCTCAGCCAGAACCTTTCTTGTGGTCAGACATACGTCTTCACTGTCACGGCAGTTACCCA